GAGAGATGGCGTGTCTATGTGGGGTGTTATGTGTTCTGCCTTTGTTCCTTTCTGCTCGAAGCAGGAGCAAGCGCGCTCACAAAGCAACACACTCACGCTTTGTACGTCTTGATCCGAGTGCGCCTGGCTCTGTGTGATGATGAAGAACTTGATCTTGGTGTTGACGAGGTATCCGTAGCATTTGCCGTCCTCCAGCGGATACAGTGCTCCCAAGTAGAACTTGAGAGCGTCGGGTGTCGACTTTTTCGCACTCAAGAGCGCTGCAAGGCAAGCGAGCAAAGGTTGTGGTGGATGGAAGAAAGAAACAGCAAACCCTGAATGAGCAATAAAACAAGGAGGAAGAGCATGCGATGCAGTCACAGTTCGCTGTCTCCCAACTGCAACGTGAACACATGCAAACACAAACACATGCAAACACAAACACACACACACACACAAAAAAAAAAAAAAAGAGCAAGCACAAACACATGCAAGCACACACACAAATGAGCAAACACACACACACACACAAAAATGAGCAAGCACAAACACACACACACAGCTCCCCGCACCGTGGTCGTCCACGACATCCAGTGCAGCGTAGATGATGTGTTCGATGGGCTCGCAGGGTGGCTGTGCCTCTGATGTGCGCAGCAACAGCGGCTCATTCTGCCGCCCAACAATGGCAACACCCGAGATCTTCATCGTGGGTCAACAACAACAGCCAACAGACCACAGCAGACCACACACGAACAACCTGCCGCAACCGACCGCTGTCTCCGACAGGATAAATTGCCTAAACACACACGCATTCCTGTTGCGGTGTGTGCAACGACGACTACGAAGGACTTTTTTTGTGCGTGCTCTCCCAACACCCATGACCATCATCCCCAACAAACACCGCCAAACACCACACCAATAGCAAGATGTCGTCGGCTGCGACGTTGACGTTTGATGCAGCCATCTCAAGAATAGGCACGGGATGGTTCCACTACAAGTTGGTGGCTCTATGCGGCTGGGCAAACGCCTCCGACGCCATCGAGATGCTCGGCGTGAGTTGACTTTGAGTGGCCTTGTGTGACGAGACATGCTGTCATCCATCACGCGGCGCTGCTGCTGCTCCCGCGCTCGTCCTGTTCAGCAGGTGTGCTGTGTTGCGTTGATACACGGCCTTGCTTCCTCACACAGCCTGTGGGTGCTCGCTTCTCAAATTGACAGATTTCCTTCATCATCACAACCTTGGCCGAGTGCGACCTTGACCTGACAGAGGCTCGCAAGGTACCACCAGCAGCAACAACAACAGCAATATGGTCGTCTTTGCTTCTCTGCCTCCTTTGCTGTCGAACACTCGCGCACGCGAAGCATGTCGCTCATTCACACAAGCTTTCTCACACCCCATTCACCCATACGCAGGGCATGGTGACGGCTGGCCTGTTTATTGGCATGATGCTTGGGGGATGGCTGTGGGGCTCTTTGGCCGACAAGCTTGGCCGGTGCGTGGGCTGGTGTGGGCTTGAAAATGGAGAGACCTTGTTACGCATGTACTTCTACTTCTATGTGTATGCTGTATGCCATGGAATGACACGCGCGTCTCTTGAAACGAACATTCGCTCATCCCGTACTTCACATGTTGGCGCCTTGTGCGTGTCGCAGAAAATACACGCTGATCCTGGCGCTGCTGTTCAACTCGTTGTTCGGCTTCTCATCATCCCTGGCCACCAGCTACCACTCCTTTCTCTTCTTCCGCATCATGAGCGGCCTCGGGTAATCCACAATGTGCAAGAAGCGTGGGATTGTTGTTGTTGTTGTTGTTGTTGTTGTTGTTGCTGGTATTGTTGTTGTTGTTGCTGGTATTGTTGTTGTTGTTGCTGGTATTGTTGTTGTTTGTTGCTGGTGGTGTGTTCTTTGCATTGCCCCCTGCTCCTCGTTCAGCATTGATGCTCCCAGCTGCTGCGACGGCAACCACAACATAACGACTGCCATCACCATCACCATCACCATCACCATCACCATCACCATCACCACCGCGACGACGACGACGATGCATCAGGGTTGGCGGGTCCATCCCAATTGTGTTCACATACACAACGGAGTTTCTGCCGACAAAGCAGCGCGGTCTGTATCTGAGCATCGTGGCTGCGTTTTGGATGGTGGGCACCATCTTGGTTGCCGGCATGGCCTGGGGCATCATCGGCGCGCACGTGCGTATTAGGAGATGAGCAGGGACAGGAGAGAGTGTGTGTGTGTCTGTGTGTCTCTGTGTCTCTGTGGCTGTGTGGCTGTGTGGCTGTGTGTGTGTGTGTGTGTGTGTGAACTCCTATGCTCCTGCCTGTCTTGTCTGCCTGTCACTCTACTTTATACCATGCTGCTCACTTCCCCCTCCCTCATCACCCCGTCGCTCACCCCGAGCACAGGAGTGCAGCCACGCCAACATGCCCAGCAGCATCCTCCTCCGCTGCGAAGAGTGGGACAACTCCGGCTGCGGCTACTTTGCCACCTCAACAGGCGGTACGGCGGCATG